GGCAGGGTGACAAGGGCACAGGTAATAGGGAAACAAGGAGTTTTGTTGTGGGTTTTGTTTTGGCTGTGTTTGTTGTAGTGGTAGTTTGGGTTTCTCTTTGAGGAAATGTCTCCAGTTTAATGTTCCTGAACCTGAAACATGAAAGTAAAATGACAGACTGATAGATAGATATGAATGATAGATAATGTCCCACTTTTGGAGCATTTTTTAACACACAGCTGCTGCCCTGAGCTGGGACTGTGAGAGCAAAGCCCAAATTCACTGGAGGGGCAGTGTGGCTGTGCAGCACAGGGATTAAATTGAAGGCTGATCAGTTCTGTATGATGTCTGCTAAATAAACCCCTGAAACTGAGTTTCCCTAAGGGTCAGCCTCCACATCTTCCACTACAAGGGCACAGGTGCAGCAGTGCTCAGCAAACACCAAGCACGTGAATCCTTCCAGAAACTCTCCTTTTCTGAGGAGCAAAATTTGCAAGCAAGCAGAAACTCCTTGTCTGGACTTTCTGAGTTGTAGATCATGTGATAAAAAATAGGGACAAAGTGTAAGAGGAGTGGCATAGTGAAAGAGTGAACTGTGGACTGGGAGAAAGCATTGCCATTATCAGATCCAGCTAAGTTCCTGCAGTTCCAGCATTCCTGCAAATTCCACCCATTCCTGGACTCACAGCAGTGTGGACTTACCTGGTTTGCATTGCTCTGTGATACTGCTAACTGTGATACTGTAACCTGTGAATCGAAAGTGAAAGTGCAGTTTCTTACAAGATGAGTTGCATTTAAAGATGGGAGGAGCCAGTGAAATTTTTTCTCTGTGATCCCATTGACTTCTGCTTTCCTCTGGAAGAGGAGCTCAATGAACTTCGATCTGGCAAGGCTGCTCAGGCACTTGGAGAAGGGAAGAGGCATGAGGACTTAGACACAAACAGCTTCTGAGGTACTGTCTTCCTCTTTAGAGGGTCCTATCTTCCACCCTGTTCTCTTACAAATTCTTGCTTTCTTGTTTTGAAGTAAACATTCAGAAGCAGGCACTGAGATGTCTGTGGCAGGAGGGAAATTCTCAGTGTGCTGCACATTTTCTGCATAGGGAAGAACATGTATTGCTGGGGAAGAACATGTATTGCTGGTGGTCTTTGTGGCTAAATAATACCACATTTGTAGCCCAGACTGGCAACTTCCAGAGAGCTCAGTGTGAACTCACACTGATTGTGGAAATGCAGAAACCCAACAGCTTCCTCTTGGTGCATTTGTATAATAGTGTGAGTGACCTCAGAAATAATAGAATAAATGTATTAACAACATTTTCCCGTTCATGTAATTTCTGAATAGTTTTTCCCATGCCCATTAACCTTTTTTTTCCTCATAGCTCCTTAGCATGTCTTGCTAATATCTTCTTTTCCAAAAGTTCCATCCTGTCATGTTTGCAAATAAGGGAGAATTTGTCAGAAGGGTTGCAGGAGAAATCCCTGCAGCTCTTCTTTTCAAGGAGCTGACTGTGCATTTCCACAAGTCCAGCCTGACTAATGAACAATCCAGCCTGGCAGCTCTGGGTTCAGAATGAAATGAGACAGAACCAAAATACAAAGCACCAGTGGTTTTAAAATAGAAGAAGTTAAACCAGTGAAACACTTCACTCTACTTAATGTTCTGCAGGCAGTAAAAAAAATGTTACCAATGTTTTATAATGCTGTGGAAAATTTTTTTCAGAGCAGGTAGAGGAAAGCCAAAGTGTGCTTTACACTTAATATTTTTTGCAGAGATTTCTCAGCTCAACCACAATGTCCTGCTGGTTGCTCTCTCTGCTATGGCTTGTTGGAACTGTGGATACAAACTGCAATCATACACTCAGGAAAGAGCTGCTTTATCTCCTCACATGATTTTGTATTGTTTTGTTTCTTTGTCACGAAGGCTTGTTGACAGTGGAATACAACAGACCAGTAAGGGAAACGTGATAAGGAAAGTGATACCAAAATTCTCTTATGTAAATACTTCTCCTTTTCTGGGAAAGAACTTAGAGTAGAGAATAAAATCTGTAGGATCTTCTGAACTTCCTTGAGTTTCATTCTGTTGCTGCCTTACTTCCTTTAATAGCACTATTTTCTCCAAGCTGACTGCAACTTAAGCCTTTCCCACAGGACCCTTAGGGTGCCATATAAATATTTTAGAAATTATGATGTCTTGTTCCACCATGTTCTGACTATAAAACCCATAGAATAAATTGCTCCTGAAGCTGTAGAGCCCAGGGGATGTGGCTGGAAGAGGAGTGAGAAAATGCAGTGTTTACTGCTGCAGAACAGCACTGGATTTTGTGTGCCCATGAATGTGCTTAATGGTCATTTGGAGAGAAGATGTTAACCCTGTTAGGGGATGTTAACATGTGAACCCTGGGGCAGCAGCTCTGCTCTGCTGGCTCCTGGGGATGTTGTGGGGACTCTGCTTTGGTCACTTTGGGGGTCCCCACTCAGCTGTGACAGAGGCAGAAAGCCTGGGGACACACACTGGAGAGGCAGTGACCTGGTTCAATTTGTGCTGAAGTAGGAGGAAACATGGATCAGAGTATTCCAGGTCATCAGATTTTAACTTTGAGAGAGAACTTTTGCTCTGCTGAAAGTGATGTTATGGCATTGGAGACTGAATTTCACCCTTCTCTTGGCAAACACTGGAGTTATTGTCTTGTATTTGTTATGATGCTATGGGGAGAAGGAAAATCCTGAGAGTTTCAGGTAGTGCTGTTCCCTCAAAGAGATCCTTTCAAAAACAAAACCAAAGGACCTTGTTAGGGCTCTTCAGATTTCCTGTCAAATCCTCTTTCTCCTGCTGGTGATCTCAGGTGGGTCAGGTCTGCCCTGGCTGGTGTTTGCTGAAGGAAATCCAGCCCTTCCTGTTTGTTCCTTTATTCACCTACTGCTTGCTCCTGATCTGCTTTTAGGGTCTGGCTTTTCTTTGTTACAGCTCTGTAGAAAACCTCAGAAGCTCTGCTAAGTGAAAGTTTGTATTACTTAGAAAAAGAAAGGGAAACACGCAAAAAAACCTGGATGGAAAATGTTTTGTCTGTCCAAAGAATGTGTTTCACTTTAGATTTGAGTGTTTTATTCAAGTAAGCTTAAAACTGCTGGCAGGAGCTGGCCAAGACAGCTGGAGAGTCTCCAGATTTTAAGAGAGATCAGTTGGGTGGTGTTTTGGCTGTTGAAACTGCAGAGAAGAGGGGGAGAAGGAGGGAATGTCACCAGAGAGAAGAGGAAGGGACATGTCCTTGACCCAGAATGTGGAGAGGGGCAAGACACAAGAGAGGACCAAATAAATGAGGATACAAATACAGACCTCACTGAAAACTACTGGGGAAAGCCCAAATCTTAACCTCTGGGCAAATAACTCTGCCAGATGTGCTGCAGCTGTTCTGTGCAGCAAACATGCCCTGGGGTACAAATCCTCTGGAGGCATTTAAAAGACAGGAAGAGGTGACACTTAGGGACATGATCTAAGTGGTGGATTTGGCAGTGCCCTGTTAACAGCTGGACTCGAGGCTCTTTTCCAAACCTGATTCTGTGATTCCAAGATTGATGTCAATTCCTTGGAACTCTGCTCATCTGCAGGGAAGGAGGGCCAGGCATTGTTAACTGTGCTTTGCAAAGCGGGAAATGGGAAAAAGGAATGTGTGAAATATGAATTTGCAGGGGGAAAAAAATTTTAAAGGATGAATTTTTTTATGGATGGGAAGAGGAAGATGAATTTTTTATGTATGAATTTTTTATGTAAGAGAAGAGATTGTTGTTAATACTTGGTGGGGGCAGAGGAAATCCTTGCAGGACTGTCAGGTGAGCCGGAGCTCTGTGCATGAGGGGGTGGTGGGAGAGGATGGATCACTCCTTGGAGGGTGCAGTGCCAGGGGCCCAGCTCTGTCCAGCATTCCCTGGGTGTGCACCCTGCTTAGGGCTGAGGTGAGAGCCTGAGGTGTCCCAGGTTTTATTCCACAGGAAATTTTGCAGCTGGTCTCAAGGACAGCGTCAGCACCTGCTGGAAGCTGTAAGGGCATGTCCTTGTGTTGTGTTGCTCCTGGCTCACCTGTTTCTGGGAAATGGGGTAGAATTCTCAGCAGATCTAGATCAGCATAGACCATATGAGATAAGCATTTATTAACTTCTGTTGAATGTGTAAGTAGGAATTAACATATAACTAATTTGGAAATTTCCTCACGGTTCTTCTCAGGTAGTGGCAGCAAAAAAGTTGTTTTATTGAGAGCTTTAGATGAAGAGCTCCCAGGAACAAAGCAGTTTATGTTTCCCAGAGCTAGTCTGGTGAGGAAAGTTAGGTGAATTTTCTATAATTTTTTTCCTCATTTGGCGAGTATTTTGCTAAAACATACATCAAACATACATCAAAGTCGTGTTATTTAAATGAAAACTAACTTCTGACTAAATCCAAGGATGTTTTGAAAGGAAATACCAAGTTATTGTTTGTTTGTTCATTTGACTTGAACAGATATTTCCCATCAGATCTCCTAAATTAAAAATATAATTCAATTTGACAATAAATATTTAATCTTAGGCCAAGTGAAACATTCAATCAGCATAATCCGTCTTCCTTAGTTTTCTGGTGGGCTTTGCACAATTTGAGCAAACTTTGGAGCTTGGAAACTCAACTTTGGAAAATTTGGCAGCAAATCCAGCTGTTATTTGCTGCCCCTGCTGAGGGGTGTGTGCAGGAGGACGTGGACACGGAGCCTCCTGCCCAGCAGGCTCAGGAGGGATTTCCCTCTCCCTGCAGAAGGATCTCGTGTCTCCTGCTGCTGTGCATGAGCCAGAGGTGGGAAGGGCTCTGAGTTTGGCCCTTGTGGAGTGCAGTAGCAGCTGTGTGAGCAGTGTGAGGGTTCCTCTGCCTTGCCCCCATCCCGTGACCTGGGCTGGAAGCTGCCGTCTGACATTTTTTATCTTTTTGTCTGGACACAGAGAGCAGAGACACTGGGTGCTAAGCACTGCCTTTAATTCCCACAGGGAGAAGACTGAGGGGGGAGCCTGCCCTGGCACTGTGGAGGATCTGGGAGAGCTCCAGCCCTGCTGGAGCTCACTGCCCTGGGCAGCCCCATGGACCCTCCCCACCTCCTGCATTTGGGGTTCCTGCTCCTGGCTCTTGCTGCTCCCCATCCAAGTGAGTCTCTGTGTTTGACCTCAGCACTTTTCCCTGCTCTTCCATAGCTCAAAACCTCTGTTAGGATAAATTCAGCTGTGCCCAGTTAAAACCAGGACCACAAAACCTCTAAGGTGAGAAGAGAAATTAAGGAGGTGAAGGTTGATGTGTTTGACCTGTCCCTGTGGTAGCCCAGAACACCCCTCTGTCTGTCCAGGATGGGCAGGACCCTGCCAGGGGGCTCAGAGACCCTGGCACAGAGCCCAAAACACCTGTGGGTTTGATTATGACCCATGGAGCAAATTACCAACCTTAGATGAAGATCAGCAAGCCACAACAGTTTAGGTAGAATTATAGTGAAGTTATCACAAGGTGGAAAAGTAGATTTTGGGGTTTCTGGAATGGAGGTTCAGGAGGCAAGATGGAGGGAACTGGGCATGTCCAGCCTTTCTCCTTCTTCTTCTTGGCCTCCATCTTCTGCTGTGATGATGGCACTTTGGGATTGGTTTAGAGTAGAAGCTCACTGTCTAACATAGGTGAGAGGTATTGGGAAGTAATTGTAAACATTGTATATGTAGTTTTTAGTATAAAGACATAACACCACCCTGGGGGCAGGCAAAGTGCCTTTGACTGTCTTGCTGAGCGGACCTCAGCAAGTCAGAAGAAACAATTTTATAGATAGAAATAATAAACAACCTTGAGAATGAGAATAGAAGAGTTCTGACTCCTTCTTCAACTGCCAGGCTGGGAAAAGAGACTTTGTGACATCTCAGGGTCACAGCAGTTGAAAGATCCCAAGATGTCCCAGTCTCCTCTTTTGGGAGGAGTGACTGTTTGGGTCTGTCAGATGTCAGATGAGGTGAGCCCTCTCCCAAAGGACTGACTCTTTCCTGGGAGGGTCTGAGGGAGGGAACCTGGGACATTCACCCAGGGTGGGCAGTGTGGCAGCTCAGCTCTGAGCTTCCGTGGTCCTGGGATCTGGCAGTGTGTTGGAGGGACACCTGGTGGGATTGTGCCAAGGAGTTTGGGAAGGAAAGAGGACAAGAAGAGAGGAGCTCAGCAAGAGAAACATTTTTCAACTCACCTCCCAAGCTGCCAGCTTCCCAGTTAAAAAAACAGTGGAAGTAGTGGGGGAATTCCATCATGTTTCTACCCCAAAAATTATCCTGGGAACTGGCCCCAGTACTGTATAAAATTTGCCCACTGGCAGACAATGTTTCCAAAGCCTGACTAAGCTTGTCCACCAAGACCCATCTTGGTCTCTAACAGTAAACATCCAGGGAGAAAACTGATGGAAATTTTTCTTCTTTGTTTTTTTTTTCTGATTTAGGAATTGCCATGTCCATTGCTGGCCCTGCTGGGAGGACACAAGGCAGCACAGCTATGGAAGTCTACCGCTGTGAGGACTGGGAAAGCTGCAAACGCAAGGATGACGGAATTGATTTTAACAACTGTACAAAAATTGCTGAAATACAGCACAAGAAAAACACTATTCCAGATGTAACAGCTGAGTTGATGGCCAATGAATCACACATCACTGTTTGCTTTGAGCAAGCAAATTTCTGTCCTGAAGAAGTTTATGTCGTCTGGGATGAAACTGTGCCACCAAAACACTGGTGTGGCATCCTGAATTGTGGAGGTATGCTTGCTGGGAACCTGGTTATTAACTGATGGAAAACATATTTCTGGGAGGAAACTGTATTGTTTTCTATGTGGGCAGACAGCAAGGCTTATGAATGACTAAACTGGAATGATTTGGTTTCTTCTGTGCAAAAAAGCCATAAAGTAATTCACAAAAGTAATTCAGCTCCTTCAGGTCAAACACTGCTTAAAATGACACTAGGAGAGATTCAGATAAACACATGTTACTGTGATTTATAAAAATACATTTTTATTTTAGGGTTTTTTTGGCAACAGCAATTCCCATGGTGAAATTCTGTGCCACGTTGCAATGTGTGAATCCCACCTGCTTCAGCCAGAACATATCCACAGCCAGGTCCAGCCTCAGGAGCTACTCTGTGCTGCTCTTCTGTCCAATCCAATAAACACCCAGGAGCATCTTTCCAGCCTCCTCACAAAACTGCCAAAATCAGGAATTCAAACACCCGTCAGTACATGAAGCAAGCGGCTCCATGAGGGCAAAACTTCATGGTGGCTCAGGTTGCAGGGCTTTTATTTAGCCTAATCTAATAGGCTTTTATTAGCCTAATCATTCCTCCTGTATTTAATTTCTGGCCACCATAAGCCATTTCTCTCCTGTATTTATGCTCATCACTGCAAAATATCTGCATGCTGTCACTACAGTGTCAAACTTTGGTGACACTGCAGCACTCACAGTGAAATCTGGAAATTGCTGTAGACAGGGATGTCTGTATCCCCTAAGAGGGGAAGGAGTGGATGTGTAGGTGAAGGCAGGAGGGAGTTTTCCAGATTCTCTTTGAAGAAAAATAAGCTCTTCAATGGCACAGTGGGATGAAGAGTTGGTAGGAGATGCACTCCAGTGTCCTAGAGATTTACTCAGCTACTACTAGAGATTTGCAAAAAGGTACTTGCTTGTTCCTCTTCTTTGGTTCCTGTGGGTAAAAGGCAACTGCAAAAATTTTTAGTAGATTTTTATTGCATAAAGGTAATGATAAGATTTTTACAGATGTTTTGTTATTCTTAACTGCGTGTGAAAACTTTCTTACCTTCTTCAAATATTTCCATTTTTGATTCCCAGAACAACTCCTCAGCTTTGGTGAGAAGGAAATCTAATGACAGTGGTTGATTTGGACTGTTAGGGAATGAAACATCCCCAGCTTGTAGCAATCATAGCAATCTCCAACATTTTGGTGCAACATGATCCACGTTTTTAATCTATTAACCTCTTCAACATCTTTAGCCCTTCACTGAAGATCTTCTACATGATCCATATTTATAATCAAAACTTTTTTTGCCTTTCCTATTTCTCAGAAAATGGAGGAGATAACATCAGCACTGAGAACCAGACTGTTTGCTGTGAAGCAGAGGCAAATGCCTGGCGACACAACCCTTTGAAGTGCTACATTCAGGAGTCACATCCAAAACACACTGCACTGGCAGTTGCCATTCCTGGTGAGGGAATTCTAGGTTAATCTCTTCTTATGTTGGCCTTTTGCTTTGAGAGGGGCTTGTCCAGACAGCTTGATGTGAACAGAGTTTACATGGGCAGGGAGATGTCCTGTACATTCATAATTTGAATCCACACATCCTGCAGCCAGTCTCAGAAACTTTGCCTTGGCAAATGGACATGGCCAGTCCTGGACAGAGATGTCTACAGGCTCAAGTTCCTGTAATTACATAGTGACAGACACAGGGGTGCTGAGGGAAGGGGGTACATGATGGGTGTGCAAAAAGTTCCCAAGAATTGACCTTATCTAAGTGCTAAATGAGGACATTTTTTGTCCATGAGCTAAGGAAGATGACAGGAGTTTCTACCATGAAAGAAATTTGAATATATAAATGTCACCTTTAGTTGACAAAAAAAAGTTTTTAAAAACCAGTCAAAGTGGATTTCCTTATTTGAACACTTCATCAAGGATGGGTCTCACCACTTGTTGGTTATTTCAGATAAGGTTGATGTTCAAAAGTATCTGTTGTGGTGGGGTGACAAGAATTTGCTTTGAATGTTGATAAAGTAAGCATTATGCCAGGTACCTTCTGTAAAACATGACGAGCCAGAGGCTCTTTGATCTCTCATTCATCAGTTCCTTCTCTCTTTATCAGATGGGGCCAGTTCCTCTGTGTGGTGCTTACGAGGCAGCTCATGGCTTAGCACTCCTGCTTGCTTCACTTGGATGCTCTGTTTTCTTCTACTCTGCAGGTAATCCTGAATTTCTCACCAGCAAAAAGAGCAGCCTTGGCATCTTGCTGGCATTCCTGTTTGTTGGGGTTTGCACAGGATGGGGCACCATGTTTTACTTCTTGCGGCTGCGGCGTTGCCAAGGTACAGTCTGACAAATTGTGTGTTGCCCGTGGGTCCCACGCCTGGAAGTGGGAAAAACATAAAGGGTTTTCCTCCTGGATCTCATCTCCATTGTGCTGTTCCTGCAGTTCTTAATGATGTTCACTGGGCTGGCAGAAAAAAACAAAGAAAAAAAAATTCCATCAGTTTTCTCCCTGGATGTTTACTGTTAGAAACCAAGATGGGTATTGGTGGACAAGCTTAGTCAGGCTTTGGAAACATTGTCTGCCAGTGGGCAAATTTTATACAGTGTGGGAGCCAGTTCCCAGGATAACTGAAGGGCTGTCAGCCCAGTGAACATCATTAAGAACTGCAGGAACAGCACAATGTCCATCACAGTGCACATCTGGTGGCTTTGTTGTGAAAAATGAGCACAGAAGGAATTTCCTCACTGCTTCCTCCTGAAGCAAGGGGGAAGCACTGGCAAGGCTAAGGAATCACAGGGCTCAGCCTTCCCTCCTTGGGGCAGTCCCAGACTCAGCATTGCAGTGCAGCTTCCCTGGCAGGGATGTGTCCCAGCCAGGACATCCAGGCTGACAGGGCCTTCAGGAGAGTGGGTCCCTGTTCCAGCCCTGCCCGCTCCAGAGCCAGCTGGAATTCAACAACAAGGATTTCCTAAATGCATCCAAGAGGGAAATTTGTTTTGCAAACCAATATGAAATGGGTCTGTGGACACGTCTTGAACCTGCCATAATGGCTTTCCCCCTCCATCCTGTGTCCACCGGGTTTTTGGCACCTTGTGTATGCCTGAGGCTGGGCCTCCTCTCAGTTCCTGAACTAGTGCATCCCCTGGTGCTGGTTGTTTCTTTCTGAGAGCCAAAGGATTAAATTTCCAAGTCTGAATTTGTTTCAGGAGGAGTTGCACAGCCCAGCAAAGGCAGCACAAAACCAGTCTCACTGTTGTACATCAATAGATTAATGGATATATTAGTGTGAGGGGTAAATAATTTACCAGTAATGACTTTCCTGAGGTCCTGCCCTGGGGTGCAATGTCCAGTGATGACTCAGGTCTGTCCTAGAGCCCCTCTAAGGCAGAAGTTGATGGGTCACAGCACCAGGGCAGGGTCACAGCAGAGCCCTGAAGCTGCCCCCTTGCTGGAGAAAGGGGTGGCTCAGAAGCAGATGGGAGAGGGGAGGTGCCTGGAGGACTTCACAAATTCAAGCATTTTGTTTATAATTCTAACAGGAATCTACCAATTTCTTTGGTGGCCTCACAGATATTTTTTTTTCGATTCTGCAGCTTCTAGGCAAGACAGAGAGGCTTCTGACAGAGAAAGGCTCACAGATAACCATCTACAACAGAGAAAACTTCTCTGCAAGCAGCATCCTCCTCTCTCATGATGTACAACAACCAGCTAAACACAGACTGATTTTCCATGGAAACTGCTGCCCTTGTAATCCCAAATCGTCCTGTTTTCACAAAGGTAGCTTCACCACATCCACACCTTCTCCAAGCACTGTGACTCTTGTCCAGCTCCAGGCCTTTTGAGCAGCACAGGCAGCACCAGCAGCCCCCATCCTACTCTCCTTGGCTTGGCTGCAGACAGCAGGCACCCCAGGGCGTGTGGCTGACTCAGCAGCACTGAAACCAGCTGAATTCTCTCTGGGACAAAGTGGGAACAGCTCTGAAATCCTTCCCATGCCCTCTGCATGGCTGTCACTTGGTAATGCCACAGCAGCACCCAGGTGTCTGTATTGTTTGAATTCTCAGGTCATCTCTGCATTCACCAAAGCCTTTTGCACCACAAGCTGGCTGGTAGGTTGGACTGGAAGAGTTTGGAAGAGATATTTGATGTTGCCCCCACCTGCAGGCTGAGGAATGACTGAGTGTTCCTGTGCAGGGCTGGGTGGGAGGCTGTGTCCAGCTCCCTTAGGAATGGCATTGGGTCACAGAGGTCCCCAGGCTGAGCAGAACTCTGGTTTCAATCTTCCTGACAAATTAGGCAAGTTTAGACAGTGTGAGAATAATACAGCTCCTCAGGAATCACTTTGGGTATTTGGTATCCTTAAATCATTCCCCATTCCCACCTGATTTGAGTAAATCCTCAGCTTTTGCATTGGATCTAATTTACTATCAAGACTGTTGAGCAAAAATCAGTGGCAGCACAAGGGGAGAAGCAAATCCCTAAAGCAATGTGAATGTTTGCTGAATCACTGTCCTTTTGCCACACAGCTAAACACAAGCACACACACAGTTCTTGGTTCATTTCTGCTTTGACTGGATTTTGTTTGTTGCTTGTTTTTTCCTCAATGTGTCTCAACCATCCAGTCAGTAGCAGAGTGAACCTTGCCAACAAACTCTGTTGTGCTGATGCTTAATATCAAATCTGGATTTTACTGATCCCCTTGCTGGTGATGTTTTAAGAGATCTCCAACACTTCGAACAGGTGATTCCCATTTGATGCCTCTGTTCCTTGCTATTCATTGTACAAATGCTTCTTGTTCAGTTTCTTTGGTTATTGGGGTCACTGGAGAGCTCTAAGGGTCTCATTACACATTTGCACACCTTTGTTTCTCAGTGTAGACTGGATTTACACCTTCTGCAGTCATCTTTCAGAGAATCTGTATTATCCAGTTCCCTGATGTTATTAAATTCTTCTTAAAAAAAAAAAAAGTGTTTTCTTCTATTCTCTGCCACTTTTTTTTACCTTTGCATTCCTGATTTAGATCTGACCCCAGCTCCAGACTGAGTTTACTGCAGCTTGTATTTTGAGAACTAATAGGATTATCCAGGGAATCTACAAAGAGAACTACATTTTCTGTGTGAGTGACAGCAGCCACTTCTTTGCCAAGGCCTTTGAAGCTTGGGAAGGTGCTGAGCTGCTCAGGTCACTGGGCATGAAAGGCACTACAGGTGCCAGAGCAGCCAAGAAATGACACAGGGAGACTGAGGTGCAGTCTCACAGAACAGTTCTGTTGGTGGAGGAGTTGGTTTTGAAACCTTCTTTGATATGATCAGACCAAGAGGAACTCTGGTGTTACAATTTCAATTGCAATTCTTATTTTTAGGTGAAGCAAGTGAACAGTCAAGAGAACATCTATCGGTGCTTGGGAGGGAGACTCCATCAGCATAACTTGCTCAATGCTTCAGAAAATGAATATTTAATTGCTGGGCAACTCTTTTTTCTCAGTGGTCCATCTGGCAAAGATGTGGAATTAGTAAATAACCATCACTATTTCCATGAAATACTTGGATTCTTGTGCAGTAACTCCAAGGGTTCCTGCTGAGTTCCTCACAGCTGCCAAGTTCCTCAGAGCAGCAAAGCTGCATAAAGCTCTGCCAGCACCAGCACAGGCACTTCCAGTTTCCATAAGGAGATGCCTGAGATGGGAGTGCAACAGTGCATGCACAGGGATCCTTGTCCTGCACAAGCAGGGGTTCAGCTCACAAACAGGGGGTGCAGTGCATTTCCTTTCCCCACTTTCTGGCTGTTCTTTGAGACACCTTGCAGTGAAGAACCAGGACCAGCAGATGATGCCCCAGAGAAAAAGGGTTGGTGTGGATTCATAGGGGCAAAGGCTGTAATTCCTACACGTGGTGCTGTGTGCTGAGGTACCTTGGGCTGGGGTTGTGTGACTCCTGTCACTGCCACAGCCCTCTGTGCCTGCTGTGACAGGGAGTGGCACTGGTACTTTCTCCTCTATCTGCATGTCAGAGGATATCTGGTGCCATGCAGAGATGACATTACGCACTGGACTTTGGTTTCTTCATGACCTGACTGACCTGAAGACTGCTCTGTAGATATGTTTTCCTTGTCTAACAGCAAGGTGGTTTTCCAGGAGGAATCCCAAGCTGTTTCAGATGGCAGGGAAGGATGAGCTCAGCAGCTCAGCCCAGCCACCAGCAATCCATGAGATTTCTGCTCCCACAGGCTGCTCTCAGTCCCTGTGAATCAGCAGAAGCCCAAACTGGCTGAGACTGGCACAGGTTTGTTTGGAACAGAGGCTCCCTGTGAAATCCCTGCTGAAAAGGCTGTGCTGAGAGCCAGGGTGGAAGAGGGCAGCGTGGTGAAAGGGTGAGCTGTGGGCTGGGAGGAAGTATTGCTGCTCACAGACCCAGCTGCACGCTATGGCAGGGCTGGCTCTGCTGCTTGTCACTGCGTGGGGGACAGCTCGCACAGGCTGACAGAAACTAATAAAGGTTGTTCTGTGTGTCAAAGGCAGGGGCCAAAGGCAAAGATCTTCTGGATCTGTGGAGATATCTGGGATAGTAGGGAAGAGGGGAAAGAGGAGGGTCAGGCACTCTCCAGATCACTTCCCTGTTGTAACCGTGTGTTGCATTTGCTGACTGTTAAAATCTATTTGATGGTTTGCTTTAACTTATGCTGTCACCATGATATTTTCTGAAAATCCTCTTTGTCCAGGATTTTTTCCTGGGAAGCTGAGAAGCCTCAGAGAGAAATGAAAACAATAATTATCTCCAGTGTCTGCTGCTTTGGAATGTGGCTTGGACATTGTTTACCAACAGGTGAATGTTTGATTGTTTCCATGTGAATTGTTTTAATTTCATGACCAATCATGGCCCAGCTGTGTTGAGGCTCTGAGGAGTCACAAGTTTTTACTATTCATTCTTGTGAAGCCTTCTGATGTATCCTTTCTCTTTCTTTAGTATAGTTTTATTATAGTATTCATAATTAATATAATATAATATAATATAATATAATATAATATAATATAATATAATATCAGCCTTCTAAGAATATGGAGTCAGATTCATCTCTTCCCTCGCTCTCCTCACAAACACCACATTATGCCACCCCAAAAAACCCCACCCAAAAAAGGGAGAAGAAAGCAGCAGATCTTACCCTCATCTGTACCCTGTGCTTACAGGCCCTGAGCTCACAACAGACCTGGGAGCCCTTGCATGGCCAGGCTGGGGAGCAGATCTCAAATCCAGTCACTCACATCCCTGCTGCAGAACCCAGAGGGACAGGGTGACTGCCCAGGCACTTCTGAGCAGGTTCCTGAGGAGTTTTTGGGAGTGTGATTGGCTTTTCCCATGTTTTCCCTACTGCACTGTGCCACACATCAGCACGGGCTTGCCTGGTGCCAAGATTCAGTGACACTGCTGACCTGCACTCTGAAAGTGAAAGTGAAAATCTGATTACAGGTAATTAGGCAATAATACATCTAATTACCTTTCAAAGAAGGGAGGACCCAGTATCCTGCTTTTCCTCCAGATTCCAAGGGACTTTCTCCTCTCCTGGTCAGGCTCTAGAAGCGGGGATGAATGAGCTGGGGCTGGAAAGGCTCCACAGGCACAGGGAGAAGGGAAGGGAGAGGCATGAAAGCTTCCTCGGTCACAAACAACATGTGAGGGTCTCACACTGTCTTCTTTAAGGGCTCCTGTCTTAGAGCCAATCTCTTCTCTTAGAAAATGTTGCTCCTTTTACTTGTTAAGAATACAATTGGACGAGTTGCAAGTTTAATTCTCACTTTTTTGCTGGGTGGAAAAGGCTTTATTGTCCTGGTAAAGATTGAAATTGTTTATTGTCTTGGCTTTTCAATGAAGTTAAGGGAGAAAAAAAAGCCTGAAAGTTTCAGGCAATGATGTTTCCTCAAATAGATCCTTTCAGCAATAAGATCAAAAGACCTTGTTAGGTTCTACAGATTTCCTGTCAAATCCTCTTTCTCCTGCTGGTGATCTGGTTTGTGGGTCAGGTCTGTCCTGGGGGAAGCTGGGTGTGAGTGCTGGTGTTTGCTGAAGGAACTCCACAGCTCCTCCTGCTTGGCAACTATTCACATTGTCACGATGCAGATCAAATCTGCTGGTTTGTGAGCAGGGCTTGTATAATAACTGAGGGTTTTCCTGAAGTAATGGAGCATATCTCATCCCCTTTCTCCTTACAAAGCCAAGACTTTTGCATCTGCAGCCACCAATCTAAGCCTGTGGGAGTCCTGACAAACTGAACTGATGTTTCAGATGGTTCTGCATTTCTGGGCTGGGAGACAGCTGCCTGATTTTGGCACTTTGAAGAGCAAATTTGAGCCGCCCTTTTCTCAGTTGCCTTCAGAGGGGAGGTGGGTGCTGCCCACTGACAGCTCTCTGCTGCTGCCCTGGGGGCTGGGGGTTGCTCAGCAGCACAAAAACAGGGCTGGTGGTTTAAGTGTGAAGAAACCCAAGGTGCACCTCCCAGAGAAATGGTTTTTCCCCCACAACCATTGTGATACAAAAGCAAAACTCTGCTGACTTCTTTCAGTAGACAGCTCAAGTAACTGGCATACAACAGCCTAACCTGGGGCTCTTGGGACTCTTTACTCAGGGCTTAAACTCATTGTTCAGACTGAGGGAGCAACTAAAAAGACCTGTGAAGATGCTGTGGATGTTGTTTCTCCCCAATGCATCCCTCTTTCTCCTGCTTCTCCCGTGCTTCCCTGCCCAGGATGGTACGTACAACATCGGTGCTCTTACATTTCTTATATTTCAGTCTTTTCTTTCCTTTTTTTCCAACATTTTCTAAACTATGTTTGCCTTAGACATGTAACACTCTCTATTTCATTTTTCTTCCCCTGCTTCTGATGTAGCTTCTTTCAGGTGTTTCCCATTTGATGTCTCTATTCCTTTCTATTCATTGCACAAATACTCCCCCTTCAGTCTCTTTGGATATTGGGGTCATTGGAGAACTCCAAGGATTTCATTCTACATTTGTTTCTTAAATCGATTGGATTTACACTTTCTGCAGCCTCTTCCTGTATTGAATCTGAGAATCTGTATTATCCAGTTCCCTGATGTTATTAAAAGCCCCTTTAAAAGGACAAGTGTATTTTCTTCTATTCTCTGCCACTTTTCCTTACTTTCAAATTCCTGATTTAGATCTGAAACCAATTATCAGGGTAATCTTAGTGAAGTTTGTATTTTGAGAACTAATAGGATTTTCCTGGGAATCTAGAGAGAGAACTACATTTTCTGTGTGAGTGACAGCAGCCACTTCTTTGCCAAGGCCTTTGAAGCTTGGGAAGGTGCTGAGCTGCTCAGGTCACTGGGCATGGAAGATGCCACAGGTGCCAGAGCAGCCAAGAAATGACACAGGGAGAATGAGGTGCAGTCTCACAGAGCAGTTCTGTTGGTGGAGGAGTTGGTTTTGAAAAGTACTTTGATATGATCAGACCAAGGGGAACTCTAATGTTACAATTTCAATTGCATTTCTTATTTTTAGGTGGAGGAAAAGAACAGACCACAGACATTATCAGTGCTTGGGAAGGAGACTCCATCAGCATAACTTGCCCAATGAATCGTGCAAAGTATCAATTGGGAATGTTCTTGAGAGTTATCAGACAGAATGTCAACGTGATATATTGTTCCAAGGAGAATTCTTCACATATCAATCCTGCCTTTGCTAATCGCACCGAGTGTTCAAAGGAAGGGGAGAACTTCAGGATAACCCTGCACAGGCTACAGGAGTCTGATTCTGAAATCTACGTATGCACAGATGTCTTAAAAATGAAGGAGATATATAGGAAGACAATCATAGTACTGGTCAAAGGTACTGGTCCCCTTTAATGGCAAGAATTAGTAAATACAGATCTGCATTTTAAATCAAAGATTAGAAGGAGACACAATGGGAGGTTGAGTCTGACAGAACCTCCTCCGTGTCTGCTCAGGTACAGATTTGAAGGAATGTGTGGGTTTGCTCCCTGAAACAATGAAGAAAACACATGAGATAGTATGGTACCAAAAAACCCTAAACCATTTTAGAAGATTAATTTGTGACTCATTAATGCCAGCTACAGATTTTCACATGAGTCACAGGTTGCTGCAGCAGTTTGGAAACGGTGAGGTCTCACAGCTCTTTCCAAAACAACCTGTCAAACCTTTTTAAAAATCTAGCAGAGCAAAGAGGGGGTTTTTTGGTAGCAGTTGTTTTTGCAAACCTCTTTTGTTTTTACTAATTCGTCTTAAATGACAAATTGGTAATAATTGGGAGGCTGGTCTTATGCAAGTTGAGCATGAGTGAGTAAAGGGTTTTTTCTCTTGTTAGTGAGGAGTTGCTGAATGAGAAGAAGTGTTTCTTTTGGCAGGTGTTTCTGGTTGGGGGAACAATTTTTCTGTTTTGTTATTTACATTTTTCGTTAGAAGAGGGTTGAGTCCACACTATTCTTTGGCAGTTTATTCCTCCATGAACCTGTCCTTCTAATGAGACCTTCTAACCTGAGACATCTTTCCCAAAGCTTACAGGATTTTCTTCCTTTCCTGTCCCCAGGCATGTGAGATCTAATTGATTGCTGATCAGCAATTGTAGTTTATATCCATTAAGGATTATCATCTCCTCCCTTGGGCTTCTCCTTTCAAACTTCTTGGCTGTGTTTTCTCAAATGAATCACATCTTGTTTATTATGCATTGTCTCTCCAAATTATTTTATTATTATTTTATTGCTTTATATCTCTGTTTGATTCTGATCCTCTTCTCTGAAATGCTTACAGCCTTCCCTTTACAAACCTGATAAATTCTGTCCTCATTCCCTTATCCACTTCAATGATAATATTAAAAGGATCAAGTCCTGTCCTCAGAGGAACTCAGTGGAATGTCTTCCCAGCTGCACAGTGAGTCATTAATGACCACTCCATTCTCATGGACCATTTTCACATTGATGGGACACACACTGTGTGATTTGATCCAGACCAACAGCCCCCCGATCTTTCTCTGCTTGAGAAAGCAAGCAATGATGCACGGCTGCAGGATGTGCTGGTCAGGCTGTATTCCCTTAGAGGAGGTCAGTATTTATAATTTCTTGGGTAGTGCAGACCCTGTACAAACAGCCAAACCTGTTGGTCAGTCCTCCTTTCAGATCCTGAGCCAGGGCGTACTAAAATATATCTTTCTTAAAGCCTGTGTAAAGCATGTTTAAAATTCATTTTATCTACATTTCCATGGTGTAAGAGCTGAAATGAGGGATGCAGGATTCCAGGCAGCTCTCCAAAATGCAGTTTATTGTATCCAGGATGTCACAGCAGTCCAGGGTCGTGGGTGACAGAGCTGCACCTACAGCTGTCAGCTCCAGCTGCAGGCAGGCCTGGAGACCCTTTGGTTTTGGTTACAATGCATTATAGACTTTTCTTTGCTGAGCATCTTCATACAGTAGAACCAATCTATACCTTAACTTTTATCTATAGCCTATCATGACTACTATAATTACCATATTCATGTTACCATTCTCCAATCACTAAAAGTTAGTACATTACAGTTTAAGCTAGAAGTTGTTTTTCAGTTTTCTTGCAGTGGAAAATTCTGAAACCTTTTTTCTACTTGCAGCTTTGCTGCCTTGTTTGCCTGTGCTCTCTTTCTGCTTGGTAAAACATCTTCTTGTTTGAGGTGGGTTTATCCTTTGCTCGAAGCCATAAAAACCCCTTCTAACTCACACACCCTTTGCCTCCTTGGTTATCCAGCAAGACTGGCTCAGCAATTCTTTTCTTCTATATCAGAACTTGCTTCCATCTCTATTCCTTCATCAGACTCTACATTTAAAAATCTTCCTGCTAAGCATCCATATCTGTGAGACTTTCTTGTCAAACTTCCATCCTTCCCAACACCATGGTCTGTTCTTTTCTGCCTGCTATGTCCCCTTGCTCCCCAGTTAAAATCCACTGTGTTAAGCATGTGATAACTACTAATTTCTCTGGTTTTAGCTAAATCCAGAAGGCCTCTGGAGCAGTCACCACTCCATGCCAACCCTGAGCAAGGCCAGTCTGTCAACATCACCTGCGAGTTGAAAAGTGAAGAGAAGTTCTACTTGTTCAGGACTCACGTGCAGCCTGGCACAGTTCTGTCTGTGCCAAATCTCAGCCGGTCAGGGGTTTCTCCTGCCTTTGAGAATCGCTTGGAGTATTCAAGGGAAGGAAATAGAATTGTAGTGATTCTACACAAGCTACAGGAAAAGGACAGTGATAATTACATCTGTGCCCAGGAGGTGAAGGGTTCCCCTCTGCTCTCTGCAAGAGGCACCATGGTGCTGGTTAAAGGTATCACCCTTTTGCTTGTTTAATCATAAATATCTGTTGTTGTGCCGTGGACAGAAAGCTTTTGGAACTTTAGTCAGGACAGGCAAACCTAGGAAAGTTTGCCTAGGAAATTATTTCCTGTTGAGCTCAGACACAGAAACAGACTCTGTGTTTCCACCTGCCTTGTACAACCAGAGGGGAATTCAGACCTTGCCATGATCCTGCAGCTTAGAAAAAGAAAAAAAAAAGGTCAAAACAAGGTAACAAACACTTCACTGTGTGCAATCTGTCGCTTTTAGGGTACGGTTAAGTACTTTCAGCACCAATTCTTTGACCTTAGCACAACATAAATGGATTTTAGAAACCATTCCCTCTAGCAAGTCCTGTGTTAAAAAAAAAAAAAGAATCAAATCACACTGGGGAGCACAAAACAAGTCCTTGAGCTTTTGCTTCAAGCACCACAGACCACAGCAGAGATGTTCTCACATACCCTTGTTACACACTGAGCACTCTGTGAGCGTGTGGTACAAATAGGGGTTTTGATTTTTCTGTGCTCCAAAGCGGGGGTTTCATTTCTCTGTGCTCCAAAGATGAGTTTTTGTTTTTCTGCGCTCCACAGATGAATTTTTTTATTTTTCTGCAGGATTTTGCTGTACCCATTTGCTAAACTGAAGTCAGAACCAGCAAGAGAGCGCTTGATTTTGGTCTTACAAAAATTTAACCCTGTGCATTGGGCTTTGCTGAGGCCTTTCTAAAATAAGGTTTACAAAGGCCCTAAGAGTTGCAAAGGCTTTTCCTGCAGTCTGCAAAGGCACCTGTGGCCCTGTTCTGTGCCACCACCCACAGCTGGGGCAATGACTCAGTAAAGTGAGGTGGGGGAAATGACAGCAGCCCAACAAAGCAGAGGTGTGATTATTAAGTAGTGTGTTATTCATATATGGATTAATTGAGGTTTTAGAGAGTTGAAACCCTTTCCACCAGCATTATTCTGCTCAGTGCCCACCAGCATTATTCTGCTCAGTGCATTTTATACCACAGCATGAACATGAACATACTCCTGCCTCTGTCTGCACCTCTCACCAGCCTGGCTCTTGGGTAATTCAGAGCCCTCGGGGTTGCAGCAACACTGCAGGAAATCAGTTTTTGCTCCCATTAGGAGTGTGCGGTCCTGTCAGTGGTGTGGAGCCTGCTTTTGTGGAGTGCTCCTTGCTGACCCACCTGCAGCCACCCCCAGCCTCTGGAAGAGCACAGGGAATGCCAGTGAGACTACTCATGGCATGAGAAACCTGGCTCTGTAGCTGTAGTCAAGATCCAAATTTGTGGCTAAATTGTAAAATTATCTTTTTCAGAATAAAAATAAAATTCTGTGGGAAATAGATTTGTAGAGAATTCTCAAAACCTGACAGAAGGTTCACATAGTGTGCATCTATATGCAAACCTTGAGATAAGAAATTCTGACTTAGAAATGCCATGGAATAAGACAGACATTGCTGAGAGAGAAATGGAGCTAGAAACAACTTTCAAATGATGGCCTTGAAAAAAGGACTGGATACCTTGGAGAAATAGAACTATGAAAGGTGCATTGTAGTAGGACCCACGAAGGGTAATTTTAGATGATTTGGCTTTAAGGCATTTACAGCATGGTGTGGCAAAAGCTGATAGAAGCACTTATGATGTATTGTAATTAAGAAATAGTTTGCTTCTGATTGTGATGGCGTGAATTAAAACATCTGTCTTGTCTCATCCTTCACATGAGACTGCAAATGGAATAAAAGTTTTTAAAACACCTCTCAATTACCCCATGTCTGGGTCAGAAAATAACTTAATCCGACAAAATTCTGCCTCTTTGTATTTATAACCATGCTGCTGTGATTTTAAATGCAGAAGTGGAGCAGGCATGTGAGAAGAGCTCCTGGGATTTGTATGCCCTTCTCATCATGATGGCTGTGCTGTTCTGTGCCCTGGTGTGCTGCGCCTTGTACCGTGTGGATGTAAGTACAGTCACCACAGCAAAACTGGGGCAGTTTGGTGGAACAAACTGATATTATTTTGAAATAGTGCCAGTGTCAAGAAAACATCTGATAAACCCAAGGAATTGTGGTTCCTTATTGCTCTCCTATTTCCCCACATTTAATATCATCCAGCTGTAACCTCTTGGCAGCTAACACAGTGTCTTATACTCATGTAACCCTTTGTAAATGAGACATTTATTGTTTTTTGATAACAAACCTCAAGTGAGCTGTGTGGTTGACACAGCCATGTGTTGTGTGTGTATCCCTGAACAAAGACCCTCACTGTTTTGCTTTCTTTGCTTTTTTAAAATTTTTTTTGTGAATTGGGGCTGGAGCTGTACATAGCAAACTTGTAAGAGATGTAACTTGGAGGGGGACACAAGGGCAACAAAAACTCATAAAATAGCCTGATGTCTGAAAGTTGTGCTGGGAGAAAAAAAAATGGCCCCTTTCCAGAAAAGAAAAAATTGTTACATTTTTTTCCTTCACTGGGGTTATTTCTATACATATACTGCAGAAAATGCCCACAAATTGTCTCTGATAGATCCTTCTGCTGTATAAATATTATTGAAAATTAAATGTGTGATTCACAGGCTCCTGTCTCATCCCTTCAAATGTGGATCCAGCACTGCTAAAAACCAGTAGTGCAACATCATTCTGTCAAAGCCCAGTGGGACCTCACGTCCTGTGTTACCAGTAACTGTATAAGAATGAGCCTTATTTATTATTATTGTCATTTATTATTTATGTCAAAGCTACAGTTACATCCAAGTCTTGAAGGAACTTTTCCTGAAATTGCATCAGACTCATAAAAGAAAGTAAAATAAATAGGCTGATAATTTCCACGTGGTCCTCTAAGACCTCACTGGGTCGTGAGAGGAATTTTAAAAGTATGTTTCCTCTTCCAACAGATGATGCAGATGGACTCCTAAGATGGAAAATGACTCCTTGGTTGGGGTCTTTCCAGGCTCTGGTTTGAATGGCTGTTTTCTTTGTTTGGCAGGTGAAGAAATATTTCCAGAGGAAAAAGCCCAATGAGGTATATGAAGACATGTCCTACAACTCCAGGCGGAGCACCCTGGTCAGAACCAACACCTATTCCAGAGGTGAATAAACTTCTGCCAGCTGGGACCATCCCCTCACAGGCAACTCTGAGAGCTGCTTTAACCACCTGAACTGAAATTGCTATCACCTACCTTCTTCAGTGGAGGGAAAAACCTAATTTCCAAGGTTGTTTCTACTTTTTTTAATTTTTTTTTTGTAATGTACAAAAAAATCTAGCAAATTGCAAGTGCCCTGGACATGTGTACGCAGTTCAGTGTGGAAAAGCAGCATTTTGGGGCTAAATGCAACATATGGGCTCGTTTCTTTGCTAAATAACCCATTCTGGGATGGATGGGGAGGTCTGGATCTGGGCTTTGCTAAGTCTCTGGAAGACCACACAGGTCTGATCAATAATTTGCCATGGATCCACACAGGCATGGATTCCAGTTCTCTCATGGATCCTTTCCCAAGAGCTCAGGCAGCTAAAACTACTCAAAAGTTACAGCAGGGAAATCTATTTTGCAGAAACTTCAGAAACGTGGCAGGGTGAAATGCTGGATCCATGTGGGCTCACCTGCTCCAGGGCCATCATGGTCCCACAAAAACACAATCAAGTCTAGATTTTAGTTTACTGCCTCTGTCAGTGCCACTCATGTGACTGATGGGGGTCTTGATGTGGCTGAGGAGCCAAGTGACTAAACTTGGGTCCTGGTGGCATCTTGGGTGTCTCAGTTTGAACAGACAGGTGTCTGCTAAGGGAGGCAGGAACCTCCTTGAAATGGAAAATGTAAACCCCTCCCTCTGAATTATTATAATTTTTAAATTAAAAGGATCTTAGGCAAAGATATGGGAGTAGGAATAACAGTTCTTTATCAGGAAATTTAAAAAAAAAATACAATAGTACCAAAAAAAAAAAAAAAAAAAAAAAAGCAATAGTACAAAGGAAAGAAAACAAACCACTGCCAGAGTCAGACCATGCCCTGCCCCCTGTGTGTGAGGGAGGTGTCCCAGCCCCATCCCATGGGGGCTCAGCCCTCCTGCAGTGCCAGCTGTGGCTCTGCTGCAGCAGGGATCCTGCACAAGGGGGGAGTTTTCCTCTGCAGCTCCAGGGCTGCTGCAGATGGGCCTGGGCTCCCTCTGGCCATGCAGGGCAGCAGAAAGCTGCTCCTCTGGCAATGCAGGGGGCAAAGGCTGCTGTGCTGTGCCAGGCTCAGATTGGATCCAGGGAGGAATGCTTGGCTCCTCCCCTGGGCGGAGCATCTCCCCATGGGATGCTGGGATTGGATCAGCGCTGCAGGGACACTCAGTGGCCATGGACAGCAGAGATCTCCTGGAGGGAGGGTTGGCTGTGGGAGACATAAAGAAAATTCCCAATGAACAGCAGATAACTGCCCCACTGTCACTGACATACTTTATGAAAAATCCCTTTGCCAGGATCTTTTCTCCTGAGAAGCTGGGAGGCTTCAGCTTCTCCATGTTTTGCTACTTTGGAATGTGATTGGCAGAATTGTTTTTCCAGCATGTGAATTGTTTTTAATGAATGGCCAATGACAGCCAGCTGTGTCAGACTCTGAGTCTGTCACGAGATTTTGTAATTCATTCCTTTCTGGCTTTCTGATGTCTCCTTTCTTCAGTATAGTTTTAGTATATAATTTTCTTATAATATATATTGTAAATCAGCCTTCTGAAACATGGAGTCAAGATTCTCATTTCTTCCCTTGTCCTGGGGACCCTCAAACACCACCACATTCCACCTCTAACAGATAGGAATAGAATCCCCCTATTTCTAACCTAAGGCCCTGGGACAGCAGAAATGTTTGTGATGTGGTGGATGAGTTTCTCCAACCCAAAGACTCCACACTGTACAACATAAGGTGAAATAATCCAGGGTAAAGTAAAGCCAATGTCTGCATTCCAATCTGGCCATGATCTAAAACTCCTTCTTATCAAAGGGATTTATCAAAACTCACCTCAGGCAAGAGGAGGCTAAATTTGGGTTGGTAACAGCTTCTGGAGCTGGGCCGAGGAAGGGCTCAGCCTCCTCCAGGGGTGTTTTGGTTTTGTAGGGTTGGGGCCACTGTGAAAAGTCAAAAATCTTTCACAAAGGAATGCTGAAAATTGCCTTGGTACAAGGCAGGGCTCATGGGGGTGGCATCTGGTTGCTGAGGACAGGCTGAGACTGGATTTTCTCTCTATTGATGTGATTGTTTATTTTGTTTTGAGGGGTGAGGGCCAGTTTATCTTTGATGAGTGCATAGCTGGAGCAGAGCCAGGCACAAAGGATAATTTCTCTCCAGAGCTGAGCTCTGACAAGATCCCAGCTTGCCAAGGCAATCCTGCCCCTCAGGAGAGCCCATTTCCCTCCAGATATTGCTCATGAAATGCTGTGCACCAGACCTGAGGGAGAAATCCCCTCACTGTGAGGGATGGGTGGTGCAGGTTCACCTTGTGAGCATGTAGGTGCTGTCTTCATATGGCCAGACCTGGATTAATTGTGTTTGTGTTGGGGTTTTGTACAGTTCCTCAATATTTTCATACATATATTAAAACCTTTTTCATATGTCTTGCAAATAAATGGATGTTTCTTTTAGTGGTTTTTTTTGTGTGTGTTTTTTTTTAAATAGTGATTCAAAGCTTTTTGAAAATTCTGTGTAAACTGCCCCTAACAGCATCCCACTAGACAGCATATTAACTGTTTTCCGCTTCAATTACAAAATCTTCAGGTGAGGTTTTCCTTTTGAAACCAATCACTGAAGAAAACAGAAAAGAACCCTTCAAACCCTGTGTATTCCATGTCTCATTGCCCGAACTTTTCTTGAATTCTGCCAGACTTGGTGCTGGCACCAATTCTGGCTTTGTCCCTGGAAAAGCCCAGCTCAGGGGTGGGTGGAGAGCTGAGGAAGAACCAACAAATCAGGTGCCAACCTAGGAACTGAGGTGCCCATGGTCAATCACCTTTTGTCATGTTGTCATTCTTGGAACAAGGTGCAGGTTTAGTCAAAAAGGGGAAAAAGCCCTGAGAGCCAGCACAGGGAGGTGGCATTTGAGATAAGCTTTTTGTAGAAACAGTGTTGTGCAAATGTGGCCACAAAGGTGAAGAAAAAAAAAAAAAAGCTGTGAAAGGAACAGTAGTGGAGGTGTTTTTTGATTTTGTGTAAACAAATTTAAAAAAAAAAAAAAGGAAGTAACACCCTTCTGAAGAAAATAACACACACTGAGCCATTTCGTGGGCAGCACGATTAACCCAAGCAGTGGTGAATGAACTGCTGGGGCATTTAGCTCCAGAATGTCAGGGAATAATTGGGAGTTTAATAAAATTAATTTTATTTTAAATAAAGAGGGCTGGAGCATTCTGAAGATGCAGAGTTGTCTCAGATCTACACTGGAAAGCAGAAAAACTGAAAGTTTTACCCCCAGAGTTGCAGACAGAATTGCTCTGAGCTAATTCTGTTGCCTTTGAATCTTTTTCTGTCTTGTCTCAGCCTCTGGAGAGGGAAATGGCTTTCAGGGAGAGGTGGGAAGTGCAGTTCTGAGGCAGTGAGAACAGTACCAGGGTATTGGTGATGCCCCAGCCCTATCCATGAGATAAAAAGTAGGAATTGCAGCTGGGAGCAGAGCAGGCTGAGGTGGGAAGCAGGGCTCCAGTGTCACCATCTGTGGGATGGGGCAAGCCAAGGCTGCCAAGCAAGGACAGCAGGTCAGAAGCAGAGAAATTCCAACAGGCAAGGTACAAAAGAGTGTCTGAAATGACTCAGGGGTCTGCAGGGAGTGACCTGGGCTGAGTGCCTGGGAAGGGGAAGGCTCATCAAAAATACTCCTGGTTATTTGCAGAACTGAAGAAATCAGCCTGCACACGCGGATTACTGCTGATGGAGCCTATGGACTCAGGGAAATTTAGCTGGAAAAAGCATTTTAACCCCTTGACTCAGGTGTGTGTGACAGGATGTGCCTGAACTCGGTGCCAGGCAGGCTGATAAGCCCAAATGAGCCACAAAATGTTTTGCAGGAGACAGGAGAGAAGCAGGTTCTGTTCTTGTGGCTTGTGGCATATTGCAGGACACTGGAATGTCTCCAGTGGCTCCTGCAATCCAGTGTTTATGTGCTCCAGCAGCTGTGAGTGCTGCATGATCCATGTCTGGGTTTGTGGTCTGGAGCCAGTTTCTCCCACCTGTCTCTTGCTGGGGACTCTTTTTCCATCCAAAAACTCATTCTTCTGCTCCAGAATTCAGAGGATCTGACCAAAATATGTCCAGCCCTCCTGGCTCTGCTGAAGACAAGCTACTCACTGCTGATTTCTCAAGGTCCCTGTGTTAGTAAAAAACCTATTTTCACTCATGGTATGCAAGCTTTTGTAAGCACTTGTTTTCCAAAGCGTTTAGTTTCTTTTTGAATGCTTTGTAACCCTCAACTTGCATTAAATTAGCAGTCAGCTTACAGTCAATTTGAAAACATGCAGGGTTTTTTTTCTGGTTCATAGATTTGGTTTTCTCACAGCTTTGAGGTGCTGAAAATGCTTCATTGGTGCTATTTCTTTAATCTGATATATTTAGTTAATATGCTCCTGCACTAGTTAATGAGTTCTTTTACTGCTTGTATAAATTTAACAGTATTTATGTTGTTTTGCATGGTTTTTAACACTATTTCAATTCCTTCAGGAATGACTGGTTACTGGCTTTGTGCAATATGCAAGAAATCTTTCCAATTTCATTTGGAGTCTCAACAGGTTTTAACCTACTTTTTAGAAAATCAATATATTACTCATCACACATAACTCTCTCATACAGCCAGAGCACTCTGCCTTGTCTACAAGTATCTCACATATTTTTTTCATTTAAGAAATGAAAATAAAGCAACCAGCCCAAATACTGACTAAAGGGAATAAACCATTTTGTCCTTACACTAAAGTTTTACAGTGTTGTCACAATCTGTGTGGTACAAGTAGCTTGTCTGTCCAATTGTGGATGGGAGGTGACTTGACTCTGTGTAATTAACTGCTAGTAAGGCTGGATGAACTCTCTGGATGGTGCTAATTCCTGTGCAACTACTTCACAAGAGCCATTATTTTGCTTT